CAGCGGGGCAGCTGCGGGCTCCGCCGCCGCCAAGCGGCCGTGCGAGCGCTCGTCCCGTTCCCGCCCCTCCGCTGATCGCCCCCGTTCCAGGCCCGGGGCTCCCCGCGCCTCCGAGGCTGCAGGATGGTGTCCTGGATGATCTGTCGCCTGGTGGTGTGAGTATGGCCGCTCGCACACCCCCTCTCCCCGCCCCCGGGGTGAACCCTGGGAATGTCTGGTGGGAAAGGGGTGCTCCTGAGCTCCTTCACCCGCAGCACTCACCGCAGTGGGTAACGGATCCGCGGCCCGCACGCGGCACCGGGCCCCGCGGGCTCGTCGTCCCAGCCCCCAAAGCCTCCTTGGCTGATGGCGACCCCTCCTGCGCTCACACCCCCGCAGACGGGTGCGGGGTGGAAGGCCACAGGCTGGCCCTAAGCCCCTTGGCACACACCAGGTGTTGTGGCATGTTGTGAGCGGAGTTCCCAGGTGCCTGCCTCCCATCTGAGCAGTCACATGACTCACCACCTCCCCACTGTGCCATACTCATCGCCTTCCAGTACTTCAGTACCTGGCGCGAAATCCCTGTCTGCAGCCTGGCAGCGTCAGGCCTGGCGGCCCTGGGCCTGATCGCACGTCCGTGGGAGGGGAGGTGCTCTCACCACCTCAGTAGCCTGCCTCCCACCCACCGTGTTCAGTGGCTTTGTGTACCTGTGCACCCAAAGGCCACAGTGCAGGACTGGACAGGCTTGGGATGTTTGTAAACAGCAGGGTGGGGAGGTGGCCTCTAGGGCACTGACTCAGATGCAGGTTGTGCAAGCCAAGCGGGAAGAACAGGGTAGGCACTGTCACCTTGAACCTGTGGGGGAGGTGGCCACCTGTGGGGGACAGGGCATGGTGCCCCTCACACTCCCCTTCTGCTTTTTCGGCCGCTCTTCCAGGCTGGTGTTTGGGATGCTGTACCCAGCTTATGCTTCTTATAAGGCTGTGAAGACCAAGAACATTCGTGAATATGTGAGTGTGTTGGCTCAGGTGGGGCGGGATGACAGCCTTGGAGGGGGTATGGTAGATTTAGGGAGGTGGGGAGAGTCTGAACTGACCTCCCTCTCCTCCAGGGGCATAAATGGCTGACAGCTGCTGAGTGGAATGAGTGTGGATGGAGGGCGAGCCGTTGAGGTGCCTCTGTAGGAACTTGTGGGGGAAGCCCGCTGGGGCTGGGCACAGGAATGAGTGGCAGTTTCTCAGAGGCATCTCTCTAGGGCCATCCAGGTGCCAGGGGAATGCAGCAGGACAGGCTCTCTGGCATCTCAGGGCTGGATCTGTCTGGGACAGGGGAGTTGGCTCTGTAGGCTCAGGTACTGGCCTCTGACCTCTCTGCTCCCCCACCTCCAGGTCCGGTGGATGATGTACTGGATTGTCTTTGCACTCTTCATGGCGGTGGAGGCCTTCTCAGACATCTTTATTTCCTGGTATGGGAGCGGGGGCTCTGTGGGCCATGGGAGGGGCTGTCTACCCTCAAACTGGCTCTATGGCTGACCTTGTCTCCCTGTGCTCTGACAGGTTCCCTTTCTACTACGAGATCAAGATGGCCTTCGTGCTGTGGCTGCTCTCGCCCCACACCAAAGGAGCCAGCCTGCTTTACCGCAAATTTGTCCACCCATCCCTGTCCCGCCATGAGAAGGTATTCCAGGGGGAGGCAGGGACGTAAGCGTAGGGGCAGGTGTGAGGGAAAGGGCCCTGACTCAGAGTTCAGGACACTGGGACACCTGGGTTCTAATCCTAGTCTGTGAGACCTTGACAGAGCCTAGCCTTCCTCTTCTGGGATAATCTAGCAGGGGCACATGTGAGTGGCCTTTTGAGAGAGTGAAAAGTCAGCTGGAAGTTGGTTTGGGAATGGGAGGGGGAGGCTGGAGCATGGCTATTCATTGAGGTGTAGGACTAGGTGGATGGGTAGGGAGCTCTGCTCTTGGTGTGGTAGCCAGCTCACTATGGGTGGTGGTGGGCTGGCAGGTGTGGTACTCAGTGACTTCTATGGGTCTGCAGAGGAAGAGTGATTCGGACTGTCCTCTGAGTTCTCTGTGCCCTGGTCCGTAGGAGATCGACACCTACATTGTGCAAGCCAAGGAGCGCAGCTACGAAACGATGCTCAGCTTTGGGAAGCGGGGCCTCAACATTGCTGCAACAGCAGCTGTGCAGGCTGCCACCAAGGTGCCCTGGGGCCCAGCCTCCGTCAGACCCCCACTCCCACTCCCAGTGCCTTTTGGGCAAGTTCAGCCCTCTGTCAGTGAGCCCAGAGATGACAGCTGTCCATAGCAGGGAACAGGGGTGAGAGGTGACAGGTGTGGTGTTGGCAGGAGCATGGAGCTGGAAGTTCACACTTCCCTGGCTCTGACACTGACCGTGAGCAGCTGCTCCTGCTCTCTGGGCTTTAGTTTCCTGTTGGTGCCACAAAGACCTGGGACTAGAAGGTTACTGAGTTGCTCTCAGTTCTGAGGCCTTTGCCCCAGTGATTATCTTTAGGTCAGCCCTTGATTTCCCTGGGCAGCTTCCCTGGCTAAGACTCTTTCCTATTAGGAGCCCTGCCTCCTCCCTCAGGTGATACAGTGGCTCCCCCTTCCTTGCAGAGTCAGGGTGCGCTGGCTGGAAGGCTGCGCAGCTTCTCCATGCAGGACCTGCGCTCCATCCCCGACACCCGTGCCCCCAACTACCAGGATCCGCTCTACTTGGAGGACCAGATGCCCCGCCACAGACCACCCATTGGTGAGTGGGCAGAGGGACTCAGAAATGTCCCAAGAGGGCTGGCTTCTTCCATGCAAGCTGTGGCTTCCCCCAGGGCTCAGCCCCAGACCTTCAGACTATAAATGCCCAACTTTGCCTCCTCGGCCTCCCTCTTCACACAGCGTACAGAGCAGGGGGCCTGCAGGACACCGACACGGAGGAGGAGTGTTGGTCAGATACAGAAGCAGTGCCCCAGCCGCTACCCCGGCCCCGAGAGAAGCCTCTGAGCCGCAGCCAGAGCCTGCGCACGATCAAGAAGAAACCGCTGGTTCGAGAGGTCAGTGGTGAGGAAAGCAAGAGGGAGGCAGGCTGCTGTGGTAGGTCAGCCTGGACCCCTCATGGTATGCCTGCTCTCTCTCCCACAGGGCACCTCGCGCTCCCTGAAGGTCCGGTCAAGGAAGAAGACTGTGCCCTCAGACATGGGCAGCTAGTGAATACAGAGCCTGCCCAGTTTTACCTCATGCCCTGCAGAGCACTAGGGGCTGTTTGGAGGGGCCCTCTGGCTGCACATCGGGCCTGCCTGCACCAGCTGCCCAGGCTCTGCCCTCCTGGCTCCTGCTGTTGGTTACGGGCCAGGGCAGGTGCCAGGGATGACCTGAAATGTACCAAAGCTGGCGGGGCCCAGGGTTCTATTTATAGTCTTTTTCATTCCTCTGCCTTTGCAGGGATGGGACCAGAGCCTTCCCCAGACCCCTGCGAATGAAACCAAAGCCCACCCAGTTTTTTATTCCCTCTTGTCCTTCAAAGTACTTGACAGCCTTCTCCAAGGCCTCGTGTGTGTGTCCTGGTTGTGTGTTTTGTGTTGGTGAATGAGGTCAGGTTTGTGCAAGTTTTGATAAATAAATATGTAAAAGTATTCTGCTTCTCTCGGTTTGTATCCCCAGTCCTCACAGCACACATTGTTAAACAGCTTAGGGTGAGGGCTAAGGGACAGACTGCCAGAGGGGCCCAGACTTCTGGGGGAGACAACCATTGGCAAATAACTGTGATGCGGCAAGTGCTGTCACAGAAAACTCTTGGGGACCCATGAGAACACATATGGGAGAGTGGGGGACTAGCCCTGAGAGAGATCAGAGTCTAAGAAGACTGCATGAGGAGATGGGCTTGTCCTTGACCCGAAGGTGAACTGTAGGGTAGATAGAGAAACCAGTGGGAGCATAGGTATGGAGGAGACTTGGGCAGCACGATGTTCCCATGGGGATTAGCTGGAGCTGTGCACAGCATACACCTGGGGAGCCGGACTTCCTGCAGTGGCCTGCTGGGGGGTCTCTAGGCACCGGAGTGGCACTGAGTTTCTGTAAACACTCAGTTAACATTGAGAGCATTGCACCTCTGTAGAGTGGCCGCAAGAGGGCAGCAACTGCCAGGGTCTGGGCTGCCCCCAGTTTCCAGGTCAAGGAGGGCGGAGCTCAGAAAGAGGCTGGCCAGAGATGTGCCCTGCACGGGCCTGGCTGCTGGTTGGCTGGAGGGACCATGCAGAACTCTGGCCTGGCCTCCGATGGCCCTCCCTGCTGCTCCTCCCTGCTGCTCCTCCCTGCTGCTCATGGTCATTGGTCCTCAGCCTGCCCCGTCCACGAAGTCTCCCGTGTTGTCCTGCAACTCAGGCTCTGTGCCTGGGCTGGCTTCACTCCATCCTCTAACCCTAATCCTGGGGCAGCCAGTCAGGCTCTGCCCTCTCCTGCCCCGGATGCTGGTCTCACTGCAGTGTCCCAGGGCTGCTCCCCTCTCCCACTCCCATGCCTGCTTTTCCTTTACTCTTTTGATTAAGCAAAGAGGTGGGTGAGAGTGTTGGGTGGGAAGAGGGGAGGGGGGTGGGGTGGTAACCCGGATTGACCTGAGCAGTGTGGATTAACTTTTGGTGTGGGATTATCCGGGTTTTATTTGGGGGAGGCGCTTAATCTGCAGGGGTGGGGTGGGGGTGGAGGTTAGCTCCTCACATCTTGGTGTTCAGTGACTTCCTATCTTGGCATTCCCTTCCATCATGTTGTTGCCTTATCTCTTTATTTATTCATTCAAAAAAATCTTTATTGAGCATCTACCAGCTACCAGGCATGTTGCCAGACACTGGAGATGCAAAGTCTAATAATGGCTCGCACCTGGAACGGGACCCCCCAGCAGGTGCTGCTCTAAACCCCTGACATTAATTTAATCCTCACAGCAATCTCATGAGGTACATACCATTATTATATAATCTACATTTTACAAATGAGAAACCAGGCATGAGAGGGCAAGTAATTTGTCTGAGGTCACACAGCCAGTAAGTGGCAGAATTGGGCTTTGAACCAGGCAGTCTGGCTCCAGAATCAGTGTACTGACACACTGTGCAGGACCAAAGTAAAAGAGATGTTTCTTGCTTGGGAGGCAAGAAGGAAACTAGGATGTATTGAACATTGGTGTGCACTTGACCTTGGGCTGGGCACTTGACAGAGATGATTTCCTCGAATCCTCCCTGTAAGCCTGAGGTAGTAGGTTATACTCATTTTACAGATGGAAAAACTGAGACTCAGAGAGGTGAAGTGGCTTGTTCACGAATGTGCTGCTGTGGGTGGGGGTGCCATCTCCTGATGCAAGCCTGCCCAGAAGTGACCTTGGTAGAGGCAGAATGGCAGGATCCACACCCCTGAACTGAGAGAACACAACACAGGAGCATGTGATGAAGCCAAAACTCCAAGAGAAGGGGAGCTGGAGGGAGGCCTGGAGTTGTGAGGAATGGGGGAGTTTTCCTGGGAGCTGGGCTTCACCTGACTTCATCCCTAGGATAGGGCCTTATCGTGAGCAGCAGAGTCACTTGGGCCCCTGGGGTGAATTGGTGATGCTATCTCAGGTCCATGATCCTCACCTTAGTCCACAGCCTCTGCTGGCCCAGTGGCCCCACAACTCCTGCCCTCAGCCATGCTGCTCCTATTTCTGTCTCCTGAGCACATCACATTCATTCCAGCATCAGTCTCCAGGCCTTTGCTCCAGCTGAATGAATCTCTGGCCCTGCAAACAGTCTTTCTTTCCTGGCCTGTCATGACCTTCTGTCAAGACCTGCTTTTTCCGAGAAGCCTTCCCTGACTTGCCAGCCCCTCCTCGAGCTCCTAAGGCTCCTGATCTCTGGTTTGCTCACCCTGTCCTGAGCACAGAATGCTGTGCTCATTGCTCTCCCCTCCCCTCCTTTCCCAGCTGTCTTCCCCTACACCAAGATTGCTTTGTGTTCCCCACCTCTGTCAACCTGGACTGTCACGTGGCTCCTTGCTGTTCCCCGGACATGCTCTTCCTCCCCCACCACTCACTAACCTATTGCTATTTGCCCTTGAAGCACACTCAGACATCCCCTCCCCCAGGAAACCCTCAGTAGGCACTCCCCATTCCTCTTTGGAGTTGAGTGCTCATCCAGACTATACCATCTCTGTTCTTGTACTGACTTCTGATTTTGCCTTGAGCACATCGTATTTTCTCCCCCGCTGCACTGTGACTTCATAAAGAACAGACTGGCATCTTACCCACTTTTTTATCCCAGCCAGGAACAAATAGTGGTTTAGCCAAAGTGAAACATCATCATGTACTTGAAGGCCCACTGACATCAGAGCTTGAGTGCCTACCCCTCCAAGAAAATCCCCTGACTTCCCCAGGGTGGGACTAGGAATGCCTTGTAATCATTAATGCGCCAGAGTCTGCTAGTCATCATGGTTTCTCAGCACAGGGCCTGCTGGTAAAAGAACAAATGCACTGAGTATAAGCTGCTTGAGGGCAGGGATGGCCTTGCTTTTGTCTCTGCCCTGCATCTCCTTGGTGCCCATCACAGAACTTGAAAATGCCAGATCTCTATGACACATGCTTGGCAAACGGCTGCCGCAGTTGTGTGGGTTCCAAGATATCTTGGGGCCAGAAGGGAAGGGGTAAAGAGAATTACAGGTTCTGGGGCATTTCTGGCCAAGCACACATGTGCTCCTGAGACTGGGGCATTGGGTGTGGGCTGGACTTCCCTCAGAGCCTGCCCTGTTCCCTCTGAGGAGCACCAGACATCTGCCAGCACTGCCTCTCTCTGCAGGGGGTTCCTGGCCCATCCTTCACCCTCTCTGGCCTGGCCCCTAGGGGAAGGTTAGGCTGTGCTCTGGCCTGCCCATGACCCCCAGTCTTCCAGTATCCACCAGTGTGCCCACTGCCTCCCCAGGCAGCATTAGAGCTGGGCTGCTGTTCCTACTGGCCTGAAGCACAAATGTGCCAGGCTCAGTGCTCGCCACCGGCTGGGAAGGTAAAGCAGCCCAGTTCAGCCGCCTCGGAAGCACGCGCCTCTGCTTGGCCTAGGTACCAGCCCGTTTGATTTGTGCCCTGGTCTTACTCCTGGGCCTCCCCACCTGCCTTGCCTGACCCTGAGGGCTTCCTCCACTGCTTCCGATCCCCCAGTACAGGTGTCCCTCCCCTTCCCTGCTTCCTCGCCTCTCCACCACCCCTTGGACCTTGCAGGTGACTCCTATGCCTCCCTGCCTCTCAGCCCCTCTCTGCCTGCAGCCCCTCCGTGTCCTGGTCCCCTTTTCCTGACTCTGGCCTCTATGTGCACTGCCCCACTGCTGTATTTTTAGCTGCCACTCTCAGTGGTGGCAGCTTACTTAGCCCCTTGTTTCAACACAACCCTGGCCCAGGAGTTGAGTTGGGGAGTCCTGGCTGGCACTGCCCCATCCTTGAGGGGTTGAAGAGATGAGCACTCAGGCACTCGCCCCTTGCTTCCCACTCAATGTCAAGGACTGGGATGCCCAATAGTTGGGTAGGGGGCAGAAGGCGGGCAGGAGGCAGATGCCCACTGCCCAGGAAATCCTGGGGGCCAGAGGTCCTGAGCGGGGGCAGAATGAGGTAGCTTTCTCAGCTACCGTTAGATTGCCCTGAGGGG